CCCTCTCTGATTTCATCATCTTTTATTTTTCCTTCTCTCCCCCTATGATCCTCTGTTTTGTTTGTTAAATTCCACATATATGATCATTTCAGTAGATGCAGAAAATGCATTTAACAATACTCAAGATTGATCCACAAAGCTCTCAGGTGACTGGCATAGAAGGGAACTTCCTGAGCCTGATTAAAGAAAGGCATTAAAACACACAGACACACAGATACCCCAAAATAAAACAAATGGAAAAAGTTTGCCACATGCTTAATATTGGAACACTAGATGTTTTTCCCTAAGATTATGAACTAGGCCAGGATGTCTGCTCTCTTACTTTTGTGAGATTGGAGTTGAGGTCCTAGACAGTACACTAAGAAAAAGACAAAAGAGGGATAAAGATTGGAAATGAAGAAGTACAAGTCTCTTGTAGTCAGTAAGATTGTCCATGAAGAAAATCTTAAGGAATCTACCGGACAACACCAACCAAGTACTAGATTGAATAAAATTTAGTAAGGTCATAAGGTACAAGTTCAGTGTACAAAATAAATTGTATTGAGGTGCCTGGGTGGCTCAGTCGTTAAGCGTCTGCCTTTGGCTCAGGTCATGATCCCAGGGTCCTGGGGTCAAGCCCTGCGTCAGGCTCCCTACTCAGCGGGAAGCCTGCTTCTCTCTCTCCCTCTGCTGCTCCCCCTTGCTTGTGTGCTCGCTCTCGCGTTCTCTCTCTCCCTCTGTCAAATAAATAAAATCTTTAAAAAACAAAAAAACCCAAAATAAGTTGTATTTCTATATACTAGCAATAAATAGTCACAATGCAATTTTTTTTAATAATATCATTTGCAATAGCATCAGAAAATAGGAACTGTATGTGGGTGAATTTAACAAAATCTGTGCAAAACCTATACACTTAAAACTGATTATTGAGAGAAATTTCAAAGGACTTAAATAAATGAAGAGAGGTGCCATGTTCATAATTGGAATACTCAATACTGTGGGGATGTCAATTCTCTTAAAAATCATATTTAACTTTAATGAAATCCCAATCAAAATGACTTTTTGCATAAATTGATAAGCTGACTCAAATCTATATGAAAATGCAAAGCATGTGCAATAGAGTAATTTTTTAAAAAGAAGAACTAAGTTGAGGGATTTATATTACCTGATTTTAAGATGTACTGTAAAGCTGCAGTAATGAGGACAGTCTTACTAGAAACAGAGAGATCAGTGGAAAAGCAGAGAACTAGGACTGCACATACATGGTTGATTCAAAGGTGCCTGGGTAATTCAGTGGTAAAAAGATACCTTTCCAGTAAATCATGCTGGATCAGCTGCATATTCATATAGAAAAATAACAAACCTTGACTCTTCATTGTACATAAAAATGAACTTGAAATGGATCATAGAGCTAAACATCAAAGCAAGAAGTATAAAACTTTCGGTAGAAGGCTTTGGAGAAAATCTTTGTGACTTTGAGGTAAGAAAAGAGTTTTTAGAATACAGAAAGCATAAACCATAAAAGGGAAAAAATGGATAAATTGGACTTCATAAAATTTAAAAATTTCTGCTCTCCAAAAGACATTAAGAAAATGAAAAGTTAAGTCAGCCACAAGACTTGGAGAAAATGTTTGTGGTACACACACACGAATGTATTTAGAATATATAGATGATTCATATACCAAAGAAGGTTTATGAATAGCCAATAAGCACATCAGTTTCCAGAGAATTAAAATTCAACCCACAATGCAATATCCCACACACTCATTAGAATGTCTAAAATTAAAAAGGGCAGCAATACCAAATGTTGACAAGGATGCTAGAGCAACCAGAACTCTTCTGCATTATTGCTGGGTGTATAAAATGGTACCCTCTGAAGAGCTGTTTGTCAGTCTCTTGTAAAGTTAAACATAAGCTTATCACACAGCTCAGCAATTTCACTCTTAAATATTTCCATGATGCTCACAAATGAGATCAGATAGTAGTTTTATTTTTCTCACCGAGATTTTTGCATCAGTGGTATGCAGAATCCATAAATTGGATTTTAAGATCTCTCTATATTCTATAAAAATTTATGTGGGAGTTACTGTTCTTAAAATTAAAGTAAAATCTATTCTATGGAACTTCCAGAGTATGATACTTTTATGGTGGGTAGTTCTTTGAGAACTTCTTAATTTTCTCTGTTTCTTGGTCTGTTTTGTTTGTTTAGATTTTAGGTTTCTAAGTCAAAGTTTTATATATATATATGTAATATTTTTATTTTATGTGTTACTATATAATATTAAATATATAATACATATTCATAGAAAATAATCAGTTGCACTCATTTTTTCAAATTTATTGATACGATATGACTAAAATGGGTTTTGTATAGTTTCTTGGTTTCCTCTGTATCTGTTGAGGCAGTCTTATTTCTTATTTTGTGTTTTTGCATTCCCTGGCTACTTTTTAAACATTGGTTAGTGGTAGATTCATTATATAGTTCTTCTAATAGAACTATCTCTTGAATTTATATTTTTGACAATTTTCTTTATTTCTAATTCATTAATTTTTGCCTTTAACTTTTCTGATTCTTTGAACTTTTTTGCTCAGGTTTATCATTCTTTTTTTGTTTCCTTAGTAAAATGTTGTGAATTTAATTATTTTTGTTGTTCTTATTAAATAACATAAAATTTTCAAGTTACGAGTTTTGAGAACTTTTTACTCACTGAATTAGTTGAATCCTGTGTTCTCATAATAAAGTTTTATTAATCTTTTATACATTCTACAGTATTGTGTTTCACTTCTTCGACCCAAATGTAGATTCATTTATTTATATATTTAAGATTTTATTTATTTATTTGAGAGAGAGAGTGAGAGCATGAGCAGGGAGAGGGAGAAGCAGACTCCCATGCTGAGAAGGGAGCCCAATGCAGGGCTCGATCCCAGGACCCTGGGATCATGACCTGAGCCAAAGGCAGACGCTTAACTGACTGAGCCACCTAGGTGCCCTGTCCCAAGGGTAGTGTTGGATCTTTTAACCTTTTCCAGTTGAAATCTTGAGTTGTCTAAGTAAACAATCATAGTGATAGCCAGGAACTTCAGTTTTGCCTTTTTCTTCCTTGGGCTGTTTAGCCCATGGCACAAACCTCTTCTTGTGGAACTAACCAGAATTGGTAGAGAACAGGTGGGTCAGCCCTTTTTCCATTCCAGAGTTACCTGCACCTTAGAGGAATACGCACTTCCAGGATTCCATAAATAACTAGAGAACTGAAGCATAACTACCTATAAAAATTGAAATAACAAATACAGGTACTCTTAAGGATTTAAAATAAGCATAATAAATATTTTGGATGAAATACATAAAAAGATACATATTTAAATGATTATGGAAGAGAGAGGGATATATGGGTGATTAAAGGCTTGATAAAATATTTATCATCTTAATAAAAAGTTGAGGAACAAAGAAAAGTAAATGGAAAGTATGTCTGTAATAACCCAGAACAAACATTCTAGTTAATATCAACATGAAGGGAACTTAAGTGGGGAGAAGAACCAGGAACTTATCAGAGTGTGGTGGAATGCTTGTCTTTTTAGTGGAAAGATAATATTTATTGATGAGTTGAGAAAGTTATTAGAATCATGTGAAGAAGAAAGTGTAAGTTAAGGACATTTTAAGAACGAATTTGTATAGCTTTAAAAAAGCATCAGAAGAAATCACTGTTTGCCCAGTGGAAAAAGGGATGGAAGAAAAAAGAAAGGAAAGAAAGAATAGTAACTATGCAGTGTCAAACTCAACTTGATAAGACAAAGCTGAATTTAATGCTTAACTGTGGTACAGTAGATCACTACCTCACTAGAACCTTAGTGGCCTGTCAGGTGGAGAAGGACAAAGTTGAGATATTTATTGAGATTTTAAGTCTGGGTTAAGATGGGCCTTTCAGTTGGGGTAGGGGTACTTGGTTATGATTGGGTAAGGACCGTAATATAACAGCTTAGGATTGGTAAGCAGAGAATTTGGAGGTACAGAGTTCAAAGTTTTAAGCCATCATTTGATAACTTTCCATTGAAGAGGTCTTTCAGGAAGTTCCTGGAATGAAGAGTAAAATTATTTTGCAACTTTTATCCTTCAGGGCCAGGGTAACAGTAAACTCACGTTGATGAAGACAGTAATAAAGCCATTTTAATCTAGGTAGTAACAAGTGTGGATAATTTTCATTCTCAGAAGATAGAAATAATTGCGTTCTTAGGGCTGGGGAAGACTCATCTGCTCCTTGTTACTTACTGTTTTATATGCTGTTAGATTTGTTTTAGATAGTATTCAGGATTTCGCAGTTCTTCTATTCATTAGTTAGATTGACCTATTTTCTTGTCATGTGTTTATAGTGTCTAGTTTTGCTATCAGCTGGTTTTGTTGAATTAGTTTCTCCCTCCCTGAATTGTTTACTTTAACATCGGGATTCTTTCTCTCTTTAAGATGGGTATAGATCCTATTATTTTGATTTTATTCTACTCACATTTTGTTTAATACTTTCTTTTTCGGTATGATTAACCTGCTTTTTGAATGGTAAGGATTATTATAGTTTCTGTTTTACCATGGTCATCTAGCCTTATTGTACTTTTATTATTATTTCTAAGTATATTTTTTGCCCTTTCTATGCATTTGTACCAGAACAGCATGGTTGTCTTATGACTTAGATTGACATCTTGAACCACCCTCCCTGTTTCTTGAATTAATCCTTTTTTTTTTTTTTTAAACTTAGGTAAGTAGGTAGATATCTCATACTGTGACCACGAAGAAAATGAAGGAGAGCTACAATTTTAGTTTTCCTTTACCTTCCTATTGGTGGTTAACATGTCATCTTTAGGAAAATATATTGAACAGTGTTTATTATTTGTTCTTAAGGAAAAGTGAACCATGTTGGGTATTATTTTTGGTCCTTATATTTCTACTTTGATTTTTTTATATACTAAAAAATTAAAACAGACCTTATATGAAGGGCATATTATTAATGACAGTTTTCTCTCCACCCCAAATATAGGAAGTTCACAAATGGGTGCTACCATAGTAGATGCTTTGGATACCCTTTATATCATGGGACTTCATGATGAATTCCGAGATGGGCAAAAATGGATTGAAGACACCCTTGATTTCAGTGTGGTGAGTATACAATTGATGACTTCTTTGATCGACCTTGAAAAGACAGCATATAACCAGAGTAGTTTTGAGCGTTAATACTAACAGTTTAAGGAAATCCCAAATTCCCTGTCTTCTTTTGGGATTAGAGTTGTTATTTAACTTTTGTGTAAAATACATACCCTTTCTCACCATCTTCCTTTCACTTTTCTTAACCTTATCATTTGAGGCACCGTGTTCAGTGTGTTAAGCAGGAGTTACAGAAAAAAACACTTGGGAATAGAAATACCAGGAAAGCCTAAACTACTTTATAAACAATAAGCGTTTTATTATTTTTTAAAGATTCAATAATCTGGTACAGCTTTGATGAGCCTTCATAACTAGGCCGATGCCCCTCCTTCCAGTATTTTGGCATAGTTGTTAAGTGGTGGGGCTAAAGTTTGAAGCCCAGCATAGCTACATTCTTGCTGTGTGACTTGGGAAAGTTCCTTATTTTTTCTAAACCTGTCATAAAATTACTATCGCATTGCAATATTGTAAGGATTATTTGAGATAATCTGGTACACATTAAGTGCTCGTAAATGGTAGCAATTTTTTTTATTATTACCAGTATTCGCCTCCAAGTTGTATGGACTATTTTGTCATGTTCATTATTATCTGTCATGATATTTGTGCTTGCTGTTCTTTCTTGCTGTGGTCAGAAGTCACTCTTTCACTATGTGTTTTTCTCTTTGGCAGACTGCATCACTCATATTGTGATTTAAATCCATAATTATTTCTTCTCTCATGCTTTCCTGATGCTAACCACACAAAAATGGATTACTTTCTTTTATGTTATTCTAGCATTTTGGACATACATCAATTAGAACAATTTTTATTATCAGTTAGATTTAGGTTTATCTGTGAGTGGCAGAAAATGTAATATAAAATAGCTTAAACAAGATAGCTATTTATTTCCCTCTCATGTAAATTAAGCATGGAGATAAGCAGTTTGGGGTTGGCTTGGGTAGCTCCTTGATCTTCAAGGATCTAGGATCCTTTGTCTTGTTGCTCTGTCAACTTCAGTGTATAGCTTCAGCCTCATGGTCTAAGCAAGGTGCTTCCTCAGTGAGGTGGATAAACCTTCCAGTTGCAGAAAAGAGGAAAGATGCATGACTCTTCTATAACACTTTACAGGAATCGGTTACCCCAGTTTTGCTTGTATACTGTTGAATAGATCTGACTCATACGGCCCAACCTTAGTGTCAAGGGAGGCTGTGAAATACAGGTGTTTTTTGTTTTTGTTTTTGTTTTTTTTTTCCCTCCCCTGTTTGGCTATGTGGTCCTTATAGGATGTGGCTTTTTGTATCTTATTTAAGAAATCCCTACTCTTATTGAAGATATATGTCTGTATTTCATTCTGAATGTTTTAAAGTTTGGTTTTTGCATTTAGGACTTTAATCCATATGAAATTGATTTAGGGTGAGATAGGCAACTATTAGTTGATCCTAGAACCATTTATTTCCCTGCTTTTTATACATGCCACATTAGTCATTTGAGCTCATTCTTTTGTTTGCTTTTTTTCTTTGTGCTTACATCAATACTAAACTGTCTTAACTACAATATTTTTGGAGGAAGCTTGATACCTGATCTCGTTCTACTAGGAAATTGTCTTAGTTCTCAGCTCTCTGTTCTTGTAAGCTCTGGAGTTCTGTTGACATTTTGATGAGGATTGCATTCAATTTACAGATTAATTTAGAGAGAATTGGTGTCTGTACAGTCTCAAATACTCCTGTCCATTAACATGTCAGCTTTAGTAGGCCTAATAATCCGCTGGTATATCATTGTATCAGTTCACTCATTCAGGAACCAGAACTATACCATTTATTTTAGTTAGAGGATTTAATGTTTAGAATTGTTAACCAAATAACGGGGAACTGAAAAGGCAGAAAGAGAACATTGTGGTATCGCAAGAGGTCGTAACTACAGTAAATATCCCCCCCCTGGGATTGTGAGAACAGTGGGAAGAAGTTGGTAATTTGGGACTCTGTTTCTGATATGTAGGAGCTCTTAAAAGAGCTTTTTAGAGCGGGGACTCAGACCTCTAAGGAGAGGGCTCCTAGCTGGTGGGCCACAGTGAGGCTGATGTGGAGAATGTGTATGTGGCAGGGGACCTATAATGTGGAACCAGCTGCCACTGCCAGGGCCAAGAACCATGGCTGGTTTGACATGGTCAGAAACCAGAAGTAAATTGGAAGGAATCAATCCTTTCTCCTTCTTCCAGCCTTGTATTATGTTTGTAAAACTTCCTGTTGGCATGGCCCATAAGGGAGCCAGCAGGCTAATGAGACATACATTTGCAGAGTTCCAATTCCAATGTATCAGGTAGGCTCTAGAAGGATAGATGTGAACCTGAGGAAAAAAAGCTTAATAATCAGCACAATCATTTACCATCCCTTTACTTCTAATCTTTCTGTGTCATGTGTTTTCGCTATATATTTTGCATGTAATGTGTGTTTGGATTTTGTTATTTTTATCCAGTCTTGGAGTCTTTTAACTGTCAAGTATGGAATGTTTACATTTATTGTGATAACATGTATTTGGAATTGGGTCTTCCATCTTTGTTTTTCAAGCTATATTATTGTTGTACTTTTCATTGTTTTTATTTGCTCCTTCCCTTATTTTATGTTAAGTTACTTTATGTCTCTTTTTCCCTCTACTTCATTGACATTTATGCTTGTCATTTCCATTCATTCTGGGGTTGTCCTTAAAATTTTATATGTATACTTTTAAGTTTAAAATTGATCATTTCTTTTTCCTCCTTCTGAAGAACATAAGCCTCTTGAATGCTTTAATTTAGCTCATCTCCCTCTTGTCTTATGTGTAATTGTTGTCTAGCTGGTTCCAACTTGTATTTGAAACTTGCAAATTAATGAGTGAATGGATGACTGACTGAATGAAGGAAGAAATAAATAAATTTATTGAATGCCTTCTCGGGGACAGGCACCGTTCTGGCTTCTGTGGATTACAGTAAAGAGCAAAACAGTCTTATTTCTCCTTGAGTTTGTACTCTAGTTTTGGGAGAAAAACAGTAAAGAAATCTTCAAGTCACATATAGTATATCAGGTGGTGATAAATGCTGTGGAGAACAGTAAAGGAGAGCAAGTAGGATTGGAGCAAGTGTGGGGTTGCCATTTTACATGGGGTGGCTAGTGAAAGACTCTTTGTTACAGTGACATTTCTGAGAAGAGACCCAGTGGAAGCCATGTGAATATAAGGCTCTCTCATACTGGTTATTATAGTTGAGTATAGTAGTAGAGGTTGATTATTTTCTCTTAAGCTATGAAAGGTACAGTTCCACTGTCTTCCTGTTTCTGTTATACTATTGGAAAGTATGCTGTCAGTCTAATTTTTCACAGGTAATCTGTCTTGTTTTCCCTTTGTTTTAATCTTTTTTGCCCTGTGTTCTGTATTTCCATTACCATGTGCCCATGTGTGGATTATTCTTTAAAGGACTCATAAGGTACCATCAGTCTGAGAACTTACGTTTTTATCAATTTTGGAAGATTTGTAGTCACTACTCCTTTGAATAATGCCTGTCTTCCGTTTTGTCCCTTCTATCCCTCTAGAACTCTTATCTGTCTTTCTTGTGAGGGAAGTTCTGAATTTTACAAATAAAGAATTATATGTAATCAGATGGTGATGTGTTAATTGGGGAAATAATGCAGGCTAAGAAAGATTAGTGATGAGGGCTTACTTCATTATTTTGTATGGTGTGTTTGGATAAGCCTCCTATTCAGAGACCTGTAGGTAGAGGGTAAGACTGACATACAGGAACGATGAGTTCGGTAATTCTAGAACAGCAAGTAGACCTATTTGGTAATAAAGTGAGTCAGGAGGACTCCTATTGGTAGGAGATGATGTCATACAGCTAGTGGGGAATCGGAATATGTTGGGTCTTACAGTTATTTTGCTCTGAGTGTAACCAGCGGTCATTGTAAAAGTTTGCACACAACAGTAACTCAACCTGACTTAAAATGTAAGAGGTTCAGTGTACCTACAGGGTGCTGAATAAATGGAATGTAAGGAGGAGAGGAAGGCTGAAATCAGGGAAACTGATTAGAAGGTTATTGTTTCGGTGACTGATAGAGGCCTGCCCTCCCTCCCTCTTATTTAGTGATGTCTGCTGTGTGCCCTGCAGTATGCTCTATATTGGGAATATATGAAGTAATATAAAGCATATTCCTGTTGAGGATGGGATGGGATGATAGATATGTTATTAAAAAATTGCAGGAAGTAATCAGAGAGGGAGATAAACCATGAGAGACTCTTCACTATAGGAAACAAACTGAGGGTGGCTGGAGGGGAGGTAAGTGGGGGGATGGGGTAACTGGGTGATGGGCAGTAAGAAGGGCACGTGGTGTGATGAGCGCTGGGTGTTATACGCGACTGATAAAGTATTGAACACTACATCTGAAACTAAGGATGTACTGTATGTTGGCTAATTAAATTTAAATTTTAAAAAATTCCGTATCAGAGATACATACTTGTGTTAGTAAATTATGTGTTCTGCCTGTGAATGTTAGAAACACTTCAGGATAATATATATTTCCTTTTAAATTTTGTTAAAAAATTAGTTATGGACATTATCTTTATACTAGTCAATTGTGTATATCCTGTGGATTCTTTGGTCATGTTCTCTGCCACTTCTACTTTTCTTTCCATGTATTAGAATTTTTCTCAGCAATATCTGTATCTGTATCTAAATACAAACATAGACTTTATATGCTAAGGTTATTAATACTGCTATATTTGTGCCAAATTTCCTTCTGTTTTTTTTTGTTTGTTTGCCTTTTAATTTTGTTCATAATTGCTTTTCCTTTTAGGTCATTCTTATTTTGGGGAAACTCAAGTCTTTCTATCATCATTTGTTGTCAGTACAGTTGATTTTATGCTTACAAAGTACCTTCTTTGTCAAGGAAATTTGTATGTTGTCACATTTTCTTCTACTTTTTTATTCTAATTTTTCTACATTTATTTCTAAATTACTTGGGCTTCATTTTGAGAGAGAGAGGTATCTGAAATGAGGATCCAAATTAATTTCTAACCTAGGAGTCAGTTTTCTCAACATTATTAATTGAATAATCCATCATCCTATCATTTTTTTGGTCCCTCTTTTAACATTTATTAAGTTTTTATATACATCAGGAAAAATACTTAAAATTCATGAGAAATAAAAATGGGACAGTATGCTGTAGTAACTAGAACAGAAGGAGATGGACCCAATAGAGATACTGCTATTCCAGAATTCAAGAAGTGGAGGCTTTCATGAAGAGAGAATAGTCAAGAGGATCAAATATGTTGATAATTTCACAATAATAGGTAAATACATGTAAATGATTTTGGCTAATAGGACGTTGTGGTGGCAGTAATAGAGGAGTTTCAGTAACATTAATAAATTGAAAGTGAGATTTCAGTTGCATGAGAAATGAAAGTGTGGAAAATGGAAAAAGCATTCTCTGCAGGGTGTTTGTGAGAAGCATATGAAGTACTGAAAATATTTGGAAAACTCGGAAGTTTTATGTATATATGAATATTTTCAACATGTCTTCACAGAATTCAGAGGTGTCTGTGTTTGAAGTCAACATTCGATTTATTGGAGGCCTGCTTGCAGCTTATTACCTTTCAGGAGAAGAGGTGAGCCACTAAAGTGAAACATTGGGGGGAAGGGGCTCTGAATGGACTTTAATAAAATGAAAGATTTCCCTAACAACATATCATTTTTCTTAATTGTCTAATATTGAACTCATGTAAAGGTTTGCTGAGAGAACCAGATGCTTCAGGTAGAACTGTCCTTGGAAATAATGATTTTTCCATTTTGAGAATTTTAGTAAAACATAAATTCATCACAAATCCTCTCTCTGTATATACCACTTCTCCTTTGCAGGAGCTATCCTCCAGGATTTTGCCACTGCAATTAAATTACATAATCGAAACAAGGTGGGGGGTCGATTAAGAAGATCAGAATTACAGAATGAATCAGGAAGAATGAATGTGGATCCTCCAAAGACCAAAAATTAATTATTAAAACTGCCTGTTTGGAAATCAAATGAGATTTTTTGCTATAAATTTAGAAAACCAACACAGCAACAACTCTGAATTCTCCTTTCTGGAAGTCTTGGTGTATGTAGTACACATAGATTGATTTGAGACCTGCTGTGATGGGGAAGTGGGTGTGGGAAATTCCTTTTTACTACTCAGGTGGGTTTAAAGGATAGGTTTGGAGAGTGGGAGAATGAAACTAAAGGAAGAGGTTATAAGTCATTTCTCTGTTTCCTGAGGAACTTCTATATTTAATTGGTTTGTTGGTCTAAATGATTATAAGAGTTCTTTGTAAATTTAAGAAAATTCATCTTTTGTTTTATGTGTTGTAAAGATGGATTTCTATGTTGTTGGTATTTAAGAAATGTTTGCCTAATCCAAGGTCACAAAGATTTTCTCTTATGTTTTCTTCTAAAAATATTAAGCCTTTACTTTTACTGTTGTCTGTAATTCATTTTTTTTTTAAAGATTTTATTTATTTATTTGAGAGAGAGAGAATGAGAGATAG